GTGTTTGAAATGCTTGTTATATACGGAGTATCTATTAGTTGTCATCGTCATCAGTACTTTAAAGTTACGCGAAAGTGTTGACCCCTTTGGGGGCATCCCACCATCTTTTTAGGTTGAGGCTAAAGCTTGCTTCCTATACTCGTTGCTTGTGTGATCTTGAAGAAGAGACATGGTTCGTGCTTCCTCTATTCTGTTTTTAAACAATAATAAACTTGCTCATGAATATTTTTACTTCAAAGCTTGCGTGCTCATGCTTGCACCGTGTGGCATTTGGTTTTAAGTTATGCTTTCCGTTGCGAATTGAATTGCTTATTATGTTTGTTTATAGATGAACTTTTGTGTGATTCAGATAAGCTTGACCGAGGTTGACTTAACCAGGTTGTGCGGCGATTGTAGACGTGTTCGGGTAGGTTCGGACGTGACAACTTCTTCTATCAGGTTGATCTTTTAAGATGAAACCCTGTGTCTTAACAAACAATTTATTACATTTGATATAGTTATTAATTGGGTTGGGCTAAGTGACTTTGAGCTAAATAAATGTTGCTCTAGTAACTAGTGTCTAGTTATATACTCCTTTTGTATTGTAATGCTTACTACAATAGAGTTTGACAAAATATTAATAAAATATAGTAAGAACAATGAATAATTAGAAAAGGTAGAAAATAGTGCGGAAAAATATGAAAGATAAGATAAAAATAGAAAAAATAAGGATTATAATATTTTAAAGGGAAAACTTATAAAAAAGTGAAAGTGTAGTAGGTGTTTAATTACATTCCAAAAAAAGAAAAAATGTAGCAAACAAAAGAACGTAGAGAGAGTGTTATACTTCATACGGAGTATATAATTAGATATAATATTATACTCTATATAAAATACACGGTTCTCGTTCAAAATAGTTATGTTTCATATGATTCTTACATACCTCACTGATAATTCTCAATTAAGAATCCATATCTTACCATACTAGTATCTCTGTCCCAAAAAATGATTTAAAAAAATGATTTTTCTTTGAGATATTCTAAAAAAATGCTGCTAGTGCTTATTTCCCGTTCTTTTTTTCAGTTTCTTCCGTTTTAAAATCGCCATATTTCCCCTGTTCTTTTTTCACTCTCTCGTGTCGAGTTCGTAGAGTTTTTTCCCAAAGTAGGGTAGTTCCAAAACTTATTTCCCAAAGTAGGGTACTTTTAAACTTATTTCCTAAACTAGGGTACTTTTAAACTTATTTCCTAAACTAGGGTATTTTTTTGCCATGTCATCCAACCTGCCACACGGATGCCACATAATTGATAGTCATTCCATGTCATTAATTTGTGTGTGTTTTTACTTAATAAAAAAATGTCACTATTGGCAGTTGAACCCACGACCTTTCATGTATTTCATAGTAGTGAAAGAACCAATGGGCTACAATGCTCATTTAATATAAGCTCTCATTTAAATGTCTTTAACATATAGGACAATATAGATTTTAAATTCTGAGATGTACTTATTTAACTCGTGCATTACTCGTTCCTTTAGGATATATTACTTCTTTCTCAAATAATTAAAGAATTTGTGAAAATTTTAATTTGAGATATTCAATTAAAAAATAAAAATTAAAAATTATGATAAAAAAGAAATATGACATATGTAATTATAAAAACAATTGTGTTTTATATGTTCGAGTTCAAATAAGATGCTCGAAATCGAGCTAAGAAAATAATGAGAAATTGAAAAGTAATTAATTAAATAAATAAAGTAAATAAATGAATGAATGGATACATAAATAAATGAAAAAAATAATAAATTAATAAATGTATTAATGAATTAACAAATAAATTTATATATTTATTTATCTATTTATTTATTGTAAATAAATGAAAAATAAATGAATAAATAAATAAAATAATAGATGAATTAAATAAATAAATTTATTTATTTATTAATTCATCAATACTTTTATTTATTTATTTATTTATTTATTTACATTTTCAATTTTCATTATTTGTTTAGCTCGATATGGAGCATCTTATTTGAACTCGAACATATAAAATACATTTTTTATAATTACATATATCCAATTACATTTGTATCATAATTATTAATTGGATTTTTATTTTTTAATTGAATATCTCAAATTAAAATTTTCACAATTTCTTTAATTATTTGAGATAGAAGTAAAATATTCTAAAGGAACGAGTAATGCACGAGTTAAAAAGTAAATATTAGAACTTAAAATCTATATTATCCTACATGTTAAAGATATTTAAATGTGAACTTATACCAAATGAGCATTGTAGCTTAGTGATTCTTGCATTATGATGAAGTGCATGAGGTCATGGGTTCTACTTTCACTGGTGACATTTTTTTATTAATTAAAACACACACAAATTGATGACATGAAATGACTAGCAATTATGGGTCAGTAAACTATTTACTCTTTTGAAATAAGTTGTGGAACTATTTGGGAAAACGTAATATTTACCCTTTTCTCTCTTTCTCGTCTTCTCTGTATATAGCCTCGAAGTTAGACGAGACCCCCTTTTGCAGTTTGAAACGCCTCTCTTCAACGGTCAAAATCCATCACAGCAGTTTAGCTCGGGTATGTACAGTTCACATTCTTCAGCCGTCTTGATGCATTCTGGCGCTTATGTGCATAGCTATCTGCTTCAGAAGAATTTTCGCAAATACCTATTCAATTATTATCCTGTTTTCTTCTTCACTTCCAATGTAGCCCTTACTATTATGGGAACCCGCAGGTTCTTGAAAGATAATGGGAACCCGCAGGTTCTTGTAAAGGAACTCTTTCATTGGAAATTTTGCCAATAAACAAGGGAAAAGTTTCTGAAAGATAATGGGGTTATGGGGGTACTGCTCCACAGACCACAGTCATGCCACACTAAATTTGGGAATATTATTTACTTCTATTTTGAATTTACCAACTTGGATTTGCGCTTATGCCAAGCAATAAAGATTCCAAGAACTTGAAAATGTAGCTTTTCTTATTTTCTTTATAGGGTTTTGCAGTTTTGTTTACCAAAAACAATGATGGCTAACAATTTTTTTTCCCATTCCTCTTTATAGTCATTTTGCACAAAATAAATATTCAAACAACTAAGGTTTCCATGCCCAGCAGGTACTTGTAGCCTAATCACCATAAGCCTTCCCCGAGAAGAAGATCGAAAGACTGAAGATGAGTCGATTTTTTCATACGACATGGGCGCACTTGTGTAAACTAATAGTGGTACTGTGCTTTTTTAGCAACAGTGTTGGAATTAATAGTAGTGGGTATAATATCAATTCTGCTTCTTTGTATGAATCAGAATTGGAGCATTGTGTTGTACTGTTGTATGAGAGGTTGATTCTTTTTTTCAGTGTTTGACATTGATGTTGTGGTAGGAAATATCACTTTAATTTGATTGTTTGGATAACATGCGCTTTGAAAATTGAAACAGATATTTGTAAAAAACGACCAAATGGGTATAATAAGTACACAAATATAGTTATATGATAGTGGGTTCTCTGGAAACATTTTCCAGGAGCATGTCCAACCACCATTTCCAAATCTGACTCTAAGTGCTCCTTGGAAGTGATTCTAAAATCTAGAGTACTTGCCAAAAGCCCCAAAAGCTTAATTAGTTAGATGATCATTCAGATCCAAACACACCTCTAATAATGTTAAATGTAATAATCTTAGTTGTGCCTTAATAATGCATGCAGCATGCCTGTACAGGTTTCAAGGCCTGTTGAGAATTTGTTGCTAGATGGAGCTAAAGCAGTTGCAAACCGAGTCTCAATAATAAAAGATAAGGATGGTAGGAGAATGAAGGCCTGTTGTCCTGTTTGTTTAATGGCTATCTCCGTGGACCACACCCTACAAGCTTCTGATCTGAGAATGTCACTGGCTATACACTTACGTTTATATCACCCCGATGATATAAACTTAATCTGGGAGGTTATGCACAATAGACGAAAGTCTTCTGTACACATGCCTTCATTCTTCCTTGGTGTTGGCATGGCTGCTGGAGTTGGAGCCCTCAGTCTCTTGACAAAAAATTGGGCCAGACCATCTCATAATAAAAGGTAAAAGGGCAGAACATTGATTACAGTGTGCTCTTGAGTCTCATGTAAAATTGAATCAATCTTGAACGAGCAAATGTGCTGCTTTGGAAGTGATATAGAGAAGACTAAGAATGTTCTGTAGATGTGAATGTTTATGTATGTATTACTTATATTGTTCAATTTTATTCATTCTGTATTTGCTTGTTTGTTACCAGTTTTGTCCCTCCATAAAGTGTTGTTTTGGTTGTTATATACTCTGTGTATGTTTTATGTTGCTCTCCTAGATGTGTTTTTGTTCTCGTCTGTTTTACATTTCCATGTTCCATAAGTGGTAGCAAATGTGATAAAGTGAGGATTTCACTCAATCCAAGGGTGTTTGCTTGCAATGGAATGTGTTACTCATGGAAAAATAAAAGGAATGAGATTGACTCTTTTTCACTCAACAAAACAGAAATATATTTTTTTCTTGAAAAATGTGTTTATCTTCCTTGAGAAAACATTTAATCCAATTCCAGGGGTAAGAGGTAAGATTTGGATTCTGTTGGAAGTGGATTTACATTTTCCGGGAAGTGCTAATATTAAGAATATATTCACTAGAGGGGTGAATGTGGTGATTTTAGTTTCCCTGGACTATTCTCTACCCCCACCCCACATAACATTATAAATTTATAATTCAAAGGTGGTAAATGATAATTAATCATAAGGTGTTTACAATTATCAGCCTCGTTTTTCTGAAAATATATTCAACTCATTCATACATGAAGGGAAAAGAAAAGGTTGTGCACTATGCTCTATGATTCTCTTGGCAGGAAGTATTTTATTTCCTTCCATATGATTCCTTGGTTTTTGGAATAGTATATTTTAGGCCAAGAACTTATGCCCACTCTATGTGATGGGGACCAGTTGTTCTGATTCTATTTCAACTTCTTCCTTTTTAATATATATTATTCTCTGCCAGTTTGATATTAAAAAAAACATCCCTTCAAATCCTTCAAGGCTTCAACTCCCAACTTTCAACTCTTCACTTCATCTTCAATCCAGTTGCCAGTATGATCACTCGTCTTCATATGGTTACATGATGGTTTTTATGTGCATGCCTTTTTTGCCTACTATATACTGTAGTTTTTTATGTGCCCTTTACTTTTTCCCATGTTCTTCGAGAACACTTTATTAGTATGATCACTCTTCTCCATATTGAAGTATGATGAAAAAAGATTTTATGTGTTGAGGAAGGCCCCAAAGACTTGATTTTGACTTCAATATGTATCTGCATGTAAAGTTATTCAGGTCACTGTTGCTTGCAACATATTCATCTAACCATCTCTATCTAACCTTCCTTCAAGGACCTTATGCATTGTTTTTTTTTACATTTGCTCAACGTGGGATGATTTAAGGCGAGGATTGAACATGGTTCTGCTTGAAGAACTAGTAAATGTCTGATCTCTGTGTATTTTATAACTATGGAAGTCTGGTCTAGTTTGGTCTAATCTGGTCTGGTACCAGAAGCAGTACCCAAAATCAATATAATCCAATTTCAGTTCCTCCAAAATAGGATCAGACCCAACCGGTTCTGATTCTGGTTCTAATTTTGATATTTTTTTTCGAGAAAATTAGGCTGAAGAACTGACTCGTAATCGAAATCGGTCTACACGATTAATGCTCTGGCTCGATCCTTACCCGTAACCGTCTATCCTACATGAAGCAAACGAATCATAAAGCATGTGCACAGACTCTAGGCTTCCTAGGCCTAATTGAGCTTAATATGATATAGTGCCTCAAATCCTTATCTTGCTTGTTGATGATTTCTATGTCAATATTAGACTATTAGTTTTGTGTTGATTGCTTAAAAATGAATGATTGTGCAGATGCATTCTTTTATGGATAGAGCAGAAGCAGTGGCGAAAACGGTGTCGATAATAAAAGTTACAGATGAAGGGATGATGATGGCAAGTTGTCCTTTTTGTGTGGAAGCTTTCCTCTCCCCGCTGGTCCATGACTTGAGGATGTTGTTGTCTGCACACTTAGTAATGCATCCTCAGGATGTCGAATTGGCGTGGGAGAGGATTCCAAACAGAGAAAGAGACAAACCAGGGGGTTTTGGCGCGACTTCCTTCTTGTTTGGAGTTGCAGCAACTCTTGCACTTGGCGTTCTGACTGGCCGGCTCTTTAGATAGTAATTTTTGCCAGGATTTTTACTGACAAGTGATTTGATCTTCTGTGGGTATTTGGTATTTTAAATTTGCTCTGTGTTTTACTGATCTATTACTGCCCTTTAAAATACGAAGTGTTGAGTATTCATCCTACTATTGTTGAACAGTAGAAAGTGATACGCACATTAAAAAGTTCAATTACATGATTTATATTGAATTTATAATGTAGTGAAGTTTGAATCATAAAAATATGGGGAAAAAACTAGGTTTACACCCTGTATTTTTGTTGGTGTAGCGGTCTACACAAGCAATTCGTAACAAAAAATGTAATTCGTCTTTGAACATCCCCATAAATAGAATGGTGTACAAAAGGTGTGCACCAAAAGGGTGTACACTAAGAATGGTTCTAAAATAGAATCAGATTGTCCTACTATGACTCTATGAGGCAAATTTGGTATATCAACAAAAAGGACACTATGGGACAATGATAATAATCATCACGCAATGCTACATAACTTAAACAATAATAATCATCAACAAATAATAATATGTCAGAGAACACGTAAAATTATACTCCATTTGTCAAAAAAAGTTAGTTCTCACATTGACTTACATATTTGTTCAATTTTGAATTATTCATTTAACTTTTCCAAAAGAAAGTTGAAGATATTGTTTTTCCCTAACATATGCACATGCAAATATGCAATGCCAAAGGGGTTCCACTACTTCCTTTCTTGACTAGGAAAAGCCAATAGGATGGAAGAAATGTCACACACGTATGAACATAAATTACATAATTTGTGAGAAGGAATTGTCGCAGATATATGAACTGAATCCACAATTGCTTAATATGTTTATACGTTTATTAAACATATAACTGCAAGCAGAGGTTTTTTTGTCCACATAAACATTAACAAACAATCTATAGATCACTTGACTTGCTCCAAAAAAATGTAAGCAGCACCTCGTTTGAAAAAAGATCAAATACAATCTAAAACTATGATTAAATGTCCTCCCCCCCTCCCCCCAAATCAAGTCTTGTTTTGGGGGTAACCAAGCATGCACACGATGAAGGTACAGGGCAGCACCTTTTAGAAACTCGGATGCGAGCTTCCCCACCAAACTATGATTCCCTAACAGAAGTATGACACTCTGTTCTAAGAAGATGGTGCAATGGTAAACAAAGGCTGCAGAATGGAAAAATAATAAGTTATATACATAAACAAAATTAGCTAAAACTTATGGGGAGGAAATGTTGTACGGGTGTGTGAGAGAGAGAAAGAGAAAAGCATACTGTGTCCAAACTGACAGGCTTGCCATCTTCAGCATGTATCTCAACTACAGTGCCAGCGTGATCCGCCTGCAAAAGGTAGCGATGAAAAAAGAATAAATAACATCAAGAATGCATGTTATTCTTGACCATATCCATGTTTTGTACTCATGATGCTCAATGTTTGTCAATAGAAAGCATAAGCTGAACTACTTATTTAAGAGCCAGGGGTAGACACACACCTCAATTGTATTCATCAATTTCATTGCCTCAATGATGCAAAGCGTTTGCCCTTTACTGACCTTGTCTCCAACCTGGGAAACACACACATTTATTATTACTCTAGAAATGACAATGAAGGGGTGGGGGTGGGGGGTGGGGGGGAGCAACTATGTTGCCTAGCCAAGATTTGGGGGTTAGTAGTGCATTGTAAAGCAATACTTGTGGGGGTCAGAGGAACAATACATAGTACTCAAATGTAGAACGATGGCACCGTTTTGTAGCCTTCTCTGGCTGCTCATCACTCATAAGCACTACAAGAAGCTTTCGACTTATTTCGATGAACAAATGCTTTAGAAGGTTTTTTTAAGAAAATTCAGCAGAGTCAATAATTTCACCCAAACATGCCCTATACCCATCTACCTTTTTTGTTTCCATGCTTGGCTTTCTCCAGCCTCCCATAGTTGGAACTTGACCATCATATATAGAAACAAATCTAGCACAGGTTACTTGAACTTAGTTGTCGTTTGTTTTCAAGTATAGTGGGTATTGTAACTTTGAGAACTGTAGTATAGCATGGGACCCTAATCAGCAATGGAGTAATAAAAAACTGCAGAATAGATGATTCAATAAACGTAAAAAGAAACATCATTTTGGGTCTGACTACTATTAGGTTCCCACCTTTTCGTCCTCATTTATTTTTTCATTTTCGGTGTACGACTATGAATTTCTTTCCACTTTCAGCTTTTTCTTGCCCCACTTATCCTGTTAAAACCAAACATACGGATATTGGCCGAGAAGGGGAACCTTGGCACAGCGGTTATGGTAGTGCCGTGTGACAGAGGTCACAGGTTTAAGTCTTGCAAGCAGAGTCTTGTCAAAATGATAAGGGAAGGTTTGCCTCTTATATACCCTTGTGGTGGGACCATTTCTCGGACCCTTTCCGTGCGGGGATGCTAATGTGCACCGGGCTGCCCTTTCTATCTTTATGGATATTGGCCACGTAAGTGATCAGAAGGACCAAATTGGCAAAAAATAACATCTTCGTAAACCGAAAGGTGGAATAATAGAAGTCAGGGACAATTAGTGTGAATAGCCTAATAGCCATGGGACCAAAAGTAGAAAACTCTCCATACATAAATAGGAGCAAGTTATTCATGGCCCAACCATAACTGAAATGAAAGCACTGTTAACCATCTACCTTCACAAAAGGGGCTTCCCCTGGGGCAGGTGAGCGATAAAATGTTCCAGACATCGGGCACTTAAACGGAGGATGAGACGACTTGGGATTAGAAGGAGGTGGGAGTGCACGTGCTGCCTCCGCCACCTGAGCAGTGGGAGCAGGAGGTGGTTGTGGCTGAACAGGGGCCTGCTGGACAGCTGGCTGTTGCCAAACAACAGGAGCAGCAGAAGCTGCTATCTGCTGCTGCTGCTGAGGCAATGCTTCCTTCTTCCTTATAATAATCTCACAGTCATGCTGCTTTAGCTGCAGCTCCACAATATCTCTCGAGTCCACAAGCCTAGGCAGCATTTCAGGATATTAAATAAAAAACATTATCCTCGAAAACACTGGATTAGACAGGTGGTTATGCAAATTTATTAAATTGTGCTTACTGAACAAGATGGGCTGCTTGAGACATAAAGGCTGAAATTGAGGAAGCATTTGGGATGGCCTCCTCGATTTTGGGGATTTCTTCATCCTTTTCCTCTATAACTGGTTTCGAATTTGTAGTTACTTCAATGGTAGACACCTTAGTATTTTGAGAAAAACAACATTATAAGTTTTAAGTGCAACAGAAAGGTGGTCTTATGTCATTTCCCCCAGTTTGGTGGTAGGTGAAATGGCTGAATGGGATGAACTACGTGATTTGATTGAAATGAGTATTGGATGTGCAATTACCTAAAAGGATATGTAGTAATATGTATATGGGGCAAATCAATTAAAAAGATGGCATCATTGGCATTTCATTGTAAATTGTAAATATAAGAATCAAGCTAAAAGGTAGTATTGAGAGCGTGTTTGGTAACACTAACTATAACTGGCTACATTTGCTGAAATTGCTACAGTTGTGGACTGAAATAGCGGAATCTTCTGAAGTATGAAATAATTACATTTGAAATATATATGATATTAATAAAGTAAACAAAATATTAAATGAAACAAAAATACAATTGTCCTCTTCAACAAATGCAATACCTAGCCTTAATTATTTGGATCGTTCCACAATTAGCTCACAAAAAATAAGACTCCGTAATAAAAAATACTCCGTAGTGTTTAGTGAAACTCTGGCTGATAAGGGGCTGAGCCAAAGTATGGGTTACCAAACTGGCACTATATCACCTTTTTGGCTGACAAGCATAATCAGCCAGAACGGTATGCCTAAAAAGATTTATGGAACGATGATCACATTTCAAGAGAAATAAGTTGGTAGCTCCAAGATTATAACTTTAAAAAGGTATTTTCGTCAAATTCTTAGCATTTCCAATGAAACTTCCCCTCTAAACCATGTCTTAATTTACAACATTTCTAAGTTATGTTATTAGTTTCTTAACATGAAAACTTATAACCCCTTATGGAATACCCTTTTTTAAAGTTTAACGATCCTTATCAGTCATTTAAAAAAATCCCATTTCCCATACTGAAAATAAAAGGTCTGAGGTATTTTGCTGAATTGGCGGAAGAGGAGATTTTATCTTCTTTCAGCTACAACTTCACCAACTTTAGATATTTAGACGATTCAGCTAATTTCCATGTGATGCTAGGGGCTCTTAATATGAAAGTGAGGCAAATTACACATTGTTTTAAAGAAAAAGAAGCTCAGTTACCTCACCGCTCTGTGCAAGGACCTTAAAACCACCCTGCATCTTAATTCAAAACAAAAAAGACTAAAACGATCAATATTTATCTAGCCAATCAGAACCAGTCAGCTTCAGTGCAAGATTACTTAAACCACAAAGGGAAGCAAACCTGGAGTCGGTGGAGCAATGCGGGCCCGGATCTCGAACCAGATCGGAAAGAAACGGAGTTCTGGTGGGGAACAAGCGGGCGGTTACCGACGGGCGATGCGCCGGCCAACAAAGTGGCGGTTTTGGCAGCATGGAGATTGAAATTGGAAGCCATCGACAGAGAGATCAACCAAATACCCAAACACAGTAACGGATTTTGGGATTTGGAGATGAGGCGGAGCTGAAGCTTGCGAGACAAATCGAGAAACGCAGAAGTATATAAGAGTCAACCACTCTGTAGAAGGAAGCGGAGGCGATGCTAACGAGGAAGAGAACAGGGGATGGATATCAGTGTGAAACAACTGTAGGGTCAGTTGTTCATAGGGCTTGCCTGGACAAGAGTACAACCCCTTCCCAACTGCTTCCGGTTTCATTTATAAAAACAATGACATGTGTTTGTTTTTTGGAAAAACCGTAAATATGGTTCTCGTATCTCGAAACTTTAAATCAATTAAATCAATTAGCCAGTTATATCAATTAAATCAATTAGCCAGTTATATGTAGCAGGTCATTTACTGACATATGCACATGTGTCGGTCCACATGTGCGTCATGTCATCGAAAAATGGTTGATTGGGATTCCACGTATGCACCATGTCATCAAAGTTACTGGTGTTCGGGATGGCACATGTGTGCCACATCAGCAGGTGATTTACTGACATGACGGACAACCTGGAAATTGACTCAATTGAAATATTTTTCGAAATCCAGGAATTTGATTGATTTTTAAAAAATACGAAGACTTAATTGACATTTTTGTGATAGTACGAGAACCAAATTGACAATTTTCTCTTGATTTTTTTATTTTAAAAGTTTTTCGTAAAATCGAATTTACCTGAAAATTTTGTTGAAATTGATTAATTCGGAATGAATCTGGAGATTTTTTTAATTTTCTAAATTGTGAAGAAATATTGGTTAAAGTTTATTTTATTTTTAAAATTAATAAAAAATCATATAAAAATGATTAAAAAAGTTGTGTTCAACCATTTAAAGCAATTCAATTAGAGAAGAAAATTCAAACTTATTGATATTTATTGTTAAATAATTCAAGATGTGAAATTAAAATTTTAGCTGATTGCTAAAAAATATATCATAAGATAAGCCAAAAATATGAATTACCAAATAGGCTTTTAGTTTAATTATTGGGAAATTTAGCACGCAAAATCAAAAGTTTAATATGTACTTTGTAGTATTTAATAATAAGAAATCGATCGATGAGTTTGATAAGTCGAAAATAAGGGATACGAATTAAACTTGCTATCTTTTGATACAAGGAGAAAGTCTTGAAATAAGAGTAAAAAGAATTCGTTCAAAAAAGTAAAAATAATTGAGAATTTCCAAACAGGAGTTATTTTCCCTAAATAGTAGTACGTTACGAGAAATTTATGCAAAAGAATGAATAAATTTTTGTAAAAAGAAAGCATAAATTTTTGGTCAAATTATACCGTGGGATCCTTTCCCACATACGTCACCGTTTTGAACTAAAAGGAAGTCATGCACCCTCCACTCACCGTCTTCCCCCACTCTCGTTACTTTTTTTCTTTTACGTTTTTTACTTCTTAGCTCTCTCTATTTCTCCAGTGCCCTCCCCCACCCTCTTTCTTTGTTACTTTTTCGTTTTTTACTTTTTTTCTTTTTTGTATTTTTTTTTACTTTTACTTTTAGTTTTTCATTATCAAAACTATCATATTTGATTTGTCAAACAAAAAAACTACTCCGTATCATATTTCAAAATGATTTTTTTTAATTAAGGAACATGGGACGGACGATTATGTACTTCGTATTTCAATTTTGTGATTAAATTACCTATCCTTTCAAAGTACATTAATTCCTTATTCATACACTTCTATTTCATTTTTTCTTCAACTGAAATTGCAACAAAAAAATGTTATTATCTCTTCATTTTTTTTATATTTATACACTTTTTGTAATATTTTTTCATATTTATACACTTTTTAGTTTTTCCTATAATATATTTCTTATTTCTCTTATATGTTTTTAGTTCTTTTAAGATATTAAATTTGGTTATTTTGATTTACATTTGTTAAAATATGAGATTACATTTTCATGTGTGATTTATGTCCAACAAGTTTGAGTTATGTTCGTAGACAATTTCTGGAGTTACGTTTAAATATTTAATAGTATATGGAGTTACATCTTCTTGTGTACGAATTACATCTTCCTATGCGTGAGTTACATCTTCCTATGCACAATATTTAATAGTATATGGAGTTACATCTTCTTGTGTACGAATTATATCTTCAAGTTACATTTAAATTAACTCAATTTGCATTTTTTATTTAACTTGTGTTACATTTCTATTAACACAATTTACATTTTTTAATTTTCTCAAGTTGCATTTTACGTACCCCGGTTTACATTTCAATACGCTCAAAGTTACAGTTTATAACGCTCGGTTTACATTTCTCATATGAAAAGAGATAGAACTAATAGTTAACTAAAGTTACAGTTTATAACGCTCAGTTTATAACATGAATTACATTTCGAGGCACAAGTTACATTTGTCACTAACTAAAGTTACATTTATCGCTAACTGAAGTTACATTTCATTACAAGGGATTTACATCATGAAAATAATTGGAAAAAAATCAACATTTATTGTTCATCCACGCTTTTTTGTTCAATTATTAAGTCAAATTACACTTGTGGGATTTACAACACGAAAATAATTGGAAAAAATAACATTCACTGTTCATCCGTGCTTTTGTTTAATTATTAAGTCAAATTACACTTGTGGGAATATGACAATTCGATAATATATTAAAATTAAATAGATAATATTGGTCTCATTTTAAAGATCATGAAAAATAAAAAAATTTGATATAAATTTTATAAAAATTAGATCAAAAATAAAAAAGTTATTACCATTTTTAAGAAAAAGAGAAATAACAAATAATGAGGCCCACTGCAATTTTGGATGGAATACCATGTGCACCCTGTGACGGTCGCATGGTATACAAACTGAAATTTTTGTGTTACTCTCCGAAATTACCTACTTTCTAATTTTTTTGTGAAATCATTGGACATGACGAGAAGTATTGCACCCTCAAAGCAATTGTGCAAAATTTTCAAAGCCAATTATTTGTGGATGTATATATATACGTTTTATCAAAACTCACTTTTTTATCAAACACTTCAATTTTAATTTTTTGATCATAATCACTTTTGTTTTAAAACATTATCAACTTTAGCTACAAATCAGTTTTACTAAAATCATTTTAAGAATTCTTTTTTTTAATCAAAACAAACGCAAATACTCCTTTAATTAGTGTATGAGTTGCATTCAATTTAATTTGGACGGTAGATGAAATACTGGTAAAGAAATTCGTTTCTTCAAAAATGATACAAGTCCCAGACATTTTACTATTTTCTTGTTGGTTTCCTTCTCGTCCAGTCTAACGCTCCAGATCTGCTCACCGGCCGGCCGGCAAAGCTTAAACCAGTTTCCGCATTCATCACATTGGCATCTATCCGAGCGAGATCTGATTTGAACCGGAATGGCGTCGGTGATGAAGGATCCGTCAGATTCCGTCCCAGGAAGCAATGGCGTATCCGAGAAGAATGCCTTCAAGATCTTCATAGGGTACGACCCACGCGAGGACACGGCGTTTGAGGTATGTCGGCATTCTCTGCAGAAGAGATCTTCGATCCCCATCGAAGTGCACGCGATCAAGCAATCCGAGCTGAGGGAAAAAGGGCTGTACTGGAGGGAGAGAGGCAAATTGGAGAGCACCGAATTCTCATTCACCCGTTTCTTGACCCCGCACCTATCAGGCTACCAAGGTTGGGCCATGTTTGTTGATTGCGATTTCCTCTACTTAGGCGACATTAAGGAATTGAGAGAAATGGTGGACGATAGGTACGCCGTGATGTGTGTGAAACACGATTATGCCCCCAAAGAGACGACCAAAATGGATGGGGCCGTCCAGACGGTTTACCCAAGGAAGAACTGGTCGTCCATGGTTCTCTACAACTGCGGGCACCCAAAGAACAAGGTGCTCACCCCTGAGGTTGTGAATTCTGAGTCTGGAGCGTTTCTTCACAGGTTCATGTGGTTGGAGGATCATGAGATTGGGAGTGTCCCCTTCGTTTGGAACTTCCTTGTGGGCCACAACAGAGTTGTTGAGAGCAAACCTGAAACTTTCCCCAAGGCAATTCATTACACTCTTGGGGGTCCTTGGTTTGAGGCTTGGAAGGACTGCGAGTTTAGCGATTTGTGGTTGAAGGAGTTGGAGGACTACTCCCAGACCACAAAGAGCAGCTAAAGAAGAAGATGAAGATGAAGATTTCTACCCAGAAACCTTAACTCCCAACCACAGCTGGGTATCCGTTTGGGTGGGTGGTCTCCATTTCTTGTCATTCATAGGCAGGCAGGCCCATATACAGCACAAAACTTTCTGCTTTCTTTTAATTACCATAATGTTCTTATTCTCACTATTACACGTTTACTCCATTTATAGAACTTGCATGTTTACCATTGAGGATACAAGTGTGATGTATCAGTAGTTACTAGTTGGTGCCGTATATCGTTTCCCCCCCTTTTGTATGTAATAAGAAGTACTGTGTGAGGAAATTGCTTGTTGTATTGGATTTTCCTTTGCAGTCAAAAAAACAAAAAAAAATACTTTACATTTTTCATGTACAATTTAACCTAGTTTGGCAAAACATGTTTGTTTATTTAATCAAGTATATCATCTCCATGTAAGTTATTACATCTTTATCTATAGAATAGGTTTTGAGTTAATTATGTCGAACATACGTGTAGGAATCTATTTTGCCAGCAATTTTTTTAGATTCTATTTGATATATATATATATATATGTATGTATGTGTGTGTGTGTGTGTGTGTGTGTTAATCCATATGTTCATACCCCCGCTCCTGCATTTTACTCTATTTCTCACATTATCATCAATTATGGTTAGAAACTATACATCTCTTGTGATCAATTTAAAGTTTATGGGGTTCACAAGGTATTCTGGTATGATTTTCTTTGCTTCGAGTTCTCCTTTCTGAGAGAATGATTTACTCGTTTAAAGAGAATATGGGGTGATTGCGAAGTTGTCTAGACTGTCTTTAGCATCTTTCACAATGCTGATTGGCAAAGTTGGTTCCCAGGAAGTTTAATTTCACAAGGTTGAAATTTGAAAGGTTGAATTTATGCAAAGTTAAATTTTGGGCAAAGTTGAATTTATTACCTAACTTTAAAGAGTTGTTTATTACAATTGATGAGCACCAGTTCTATATTAAAATCTGGAATTTATTATTGAGTTCTTATTCACACTTGTTGCCATTGTTAATGACATTTAGGGGCTGTTTACTTTTTTTTCATTAAGTCCTGTATGAATTAAGACGTCTGTATGGATTAAGACGTCTGTCTGGATTAAGTCACAGTGATATAACAAGCTGTTTACTTTGTGTGCTGAATGAACATGCTGAATTATATCAAATGACCAGTTTACCCTTCTATATGGAAAAAGTGTTGAATATATATTATGTGTCTACCGTACAATTAAAATATACACTTTTGGAATATATGTTGTATATATAAATTAGTAATTTATTTAAAATATATATTTTTAACTTGGTATTTGGGTAAAATATACATTTTGTAATGTTGTACATTTAATTATTTCATTCGCATTTTTCTAAAAATAAAAGTGAACATAAGTACACTTATTAAAAATATGTTATAAACTTTTCAACTTATATTTGAAATGGTGTATACATAATTTTTTATTTTAGTATTTGCAACAATATCGATTATTATATTTATTATGCATTAATTTTTAATTAAATAAATAATTTTTACTTATCATGTTGAATTGAAAATAGTATACTTCCTCCGTTTCTTAAAAGTTGCAACATTAGGATATTTGCACTATTCACACACCTTACTTTGACCACAATTTTCTATTAATATATAAAATCAAATTATTGTGTATAAAATGTCATTAAATTTCTATTGATGTGAATTTTCAAAATATTAACTTTTTATAATTTTTACTAATACGTAATTAGATATAATTAAAGTCAAAGTTGTGCGTTGGCAAACGTGAAAGTCAAACTGTTGCAACTATTAAAGAACGGAGGAAGTATATATTATACAATTATTCACCTTCGGCCGTTCTAGAGGAGACCATTCGGTAGCCCCCATTTCGGGTGGTTTCCGGTGGAATTTTTAATGAAATTTTATGATCATATTTCTCGTGAAATTTAGATTATTTCCACAAAAAATTATTTTAAAATTCATTTGGGAAGTTATTGAAATACGTTTTTGAAAAATATTGCGTTTTTATATCTATTTTGGCGCGCAATATGTTTCACAATTTTATTTCACAATTTTCACAATCAAATTTTAAGGTGATTTTTTTTAATATAATCTACACTTCATGGGGAACATGTTCATAAAATTTCATTAAAAACTTCCACCGGGAACTACTTAAATGGGATGGACAAACGACAGTCTCTTCTAACCCGTCCAGACCAAAAATATACTATATATTTTTACAATGTAGCAAATATACCAATAAGCATTATTAGCTCGTTGGGTATTTGTTCACTCGCCCAACCTGATAATTGTGTTCAAATATAGTAAAATATACATTTTTGTAATTATATATATTTAATTATGTCATTTACATTTTTCTAAAAAAAATTACCCAATTAATCTGTAATTGGGTAAAATATACATTTTTTAATAATCATACATTTTTGTAATGAAGTACATTTAATTATATCATTTTCATTTAATTATGTCATTCATCTCCGGCCGTTACGGAAGAGACTTGTCCGGTCACCCCCATTTGGGGTGGTTTCCGGTGGAATATTTTAATGAAATTTAATGATCATATTTTTCATAAAGTGTAGATTATTTCCACAAAACTTTATTTTAAAATTAAATCGTGAAGCTAGTTAAATATTTTTTGGAAAAAAAATTGCATTTTTTATATGTGTATGGGCGCATATGTTTTAGAATTTTATTTTACTACATTCATGGTTGAATTTTAAAGTGAATTTTTTTACAAATAATCTAAACTTCATGAGTAACATGCTCATAAAATTTCATTATAAAATAGCACCGGGAACCATCCAAATGGGGTGGCCAGACGGCGGTCTCCTCTAGCCTAGACTGGAAATATACGCTATATAATTTTGCAATGTCATAAAGCATCAACAAGCTTTAGTAGCTCTCTGGTTTCTCCTTCACTCGGTTGGCATGAGCACTTGGGTTCGAATCCCACCTCCAACATTATTTTTGAGCAGGAGTAACAAGGCTTGAAAAGAGCGAATAAGTCATTTATTTCATTAAGTCGCAAGTAAACACGCCGATATAGCTGAACGAATAAGTCATGATTTCCATTAAGTCTATTAAGTCGCAAGTAAACAGCCCCTTAGTGTTACATTTGATAAGACAATGACCTATGAAGTATGAACAATATAAGTAGTGCGCCCTCCCAGATGTTTGATTACAGCTTCATATGGACATAGCTTTGACTATACTAGATTCTCACCCGCACGGGTGAAATTTTACCAATGTGTGATAAAGAAGTGTATTATAAAAACGCAAAAAGAATTGATCTCATAATAAAGTGGTAAGTAGTATATTAAGTGTTCGCAGTGAAGATAGACATAACATATGAAAGTACAAAGTGGTAAGAATAACAATAAGTGCACATAATGAAATTACAAATTTTGAAAGTCTTCTTTATAAACAACATTAGTAGTATGATCGATTTGTTGGTCATCCTCATCACAGATCAATATCTTCAACCCTTTACGATTGGTAACTCTTGACACTGCAACATAAAGTTGACCGTGAGTGAAGACTAGTTTTTTTAGTAAAAGTCCAACATGTGACAGAGATTGACCTTGACTTTTGTTTATAGTCATCGCATAAGAGGGCATGATTGGAAATTGTCTTCTTTGGAACTTGAATGGTATTCTTGCATCTGAAGGTGTTAGTGTCAATCTGGGTATGACCACTTCTTGTCCATCAAATTTCCCTCCTAAAATTTTTGCTCCAAGAACATGATTTCCAAGCCTTGTAATAATCAACCTCGTGTCGTTGCATAAACCCATAAAATGATCAATGTTCCTTAGAAGCATAACAGGAGTACCAACCTTCAGAGTCAACTCGTGATTTGGAACACCAGATGCATGTATCTTATTCAAGAATTCCGGTGTATGCAAATCAGCCAAGAACTCTGAATTTGAGTCTGATTTGCAAATGCTATCAGAACTCAAATAGGTCCTAGACTCCTCTGTCACGTTCAATGCAGTCATGTACTCATTAATTGAGTCAACAACATCAAGTGTTGGGGTCAAAATAGCACGTTCTTTTAGGAATGATGGGTTAGTCGGCATATGTTCAAAATCAGGATACGTACTGCGTACAATTATTGCAATTGGGTCTTCACCACTTTGAAGCAAAATGTCACTTGGTATTTTTATATCAGCGTAACCATCATTCTCACCACCAGCCGTTCCATCTCCCAAACTCGCTATCCACTCAGCAAACTCAACCAAGTCAGCATAATCACGATCGTTAGTCAAAGATTGTGGTCTCATGTTCTTTGTTAAGCGTAAAACAATGCAATCTTGCCATATGTATGAAGAATTAATTGTGGCATTAACTATGTCTTGTCTTGTACCTTTAGTAATGACCGGTAAGATTTGTCTGAAGTCTCCTCCCAAAACAATAGTTTTCCCTCCAAATGGCTTATCATTGTTTTGGGGATCAACAACCCCTAAGAATGTCACGGAAACTTCTGTCCAAGGCTTCAAAACAATATTTATGCATCATTGGTGCTTCGTCCCAAATTATAAGTTTAGACCTAATGATCAATTGGGCTAATGGACTGTTTTGTTTGATGTTGCATGTCGAGTGCTCAATTGGGTTGATTGGTATTGCAAAGCGTGAATGAGCAGTTCTTCCACCAGGTAATAATAATGCAGCAATCCCACTTGAAGCCACATTTAAAACAATTTCACCCTTTGATCTCAAAGTTGCCGACAACGTTTTCCAAATAAACGTTTTCCCTGTACCCCCGTACCCATATACAAAGAACAGCCCATCCTTGTTCTCTTCAATGGATTCCATAATAGTCTTGTACACTTCACTTTGTTGCTCATTCAAACTCTCCATGCATTTTTCATGTTGTTCGCGCATTTCAGCATGATCATATTGCAACTCGTCATAAATAAGTCTGTTTTGAAACATGGTTGCGTTACTACAATTAGGGAATGACATTGATGGATAGTCCTTTAGGCTTCTTCCCCGAATCCTTAACATTGTCTCTATTTCAAGCAATGCATAATTCTTGATTTCATCTTCCGTTAACATTAACTCTACAATAAAGAATATAACATTTAATTGTACAATTCTTATAATTTAGCAAATTTAGCAAATTATAAACAATAATGTAGTTACAAATAAATAAATTGTAATTTCTTTATAACCTGGATGTAGCAATGCTCATCGTTGTCTGTGAAGAATGTCATCAGACATAAATTTCCAATATTTCTCCCAAATGTATTCAGGTCTACTCATTGTATCTGCTAGTAACAATATAACAAATAGAACTCTCAGTCCCAATGCAGAAGCCCAAAAACTACTTTCCGTAAAACCTTCGACGTACTCTTGATCGTCATCCAACAAACCCAATGCGTAACATGTGTCACGATATGATTCATAACAAACCCCATCAACAGTTCGTAAATCGGCGAAAGACGTAGGACCGCGCTTCAAATTTAGGATACATCGCAAATAATAAGATTCTCCTGATCCTGGA